TCATCCTCCTCCTCATCCTCCTCATCCTATTCCTACACTTGCTTCTGCTGCTACGACGATGGCGGCAGCAGCGTGGATGACGACGATGAACGTTAGCACTGGTACTGTGATCAGACAACCATAGTGCTACGGATCGTTAGACTCACTCCATCCTCCACATTCCAAGTTCTTGAACTCGAGAAATGGCCCCAAACCCCTAAACCCTACACCCTAAATTCAAAGGCCGAACTAAACCAGAAGCCAGAAATGCCTACATCGTGAAGCCTAAACCAGGAAGACCAGAATCCGGACCCCTCAAGTGGCTTCGTCCCCAACGTGCGACGACCTGCAGCGCCTGCGGAGCAACCCTCCGCCTTAAACCAAAAGCCTCACCCTGCAACCCGAATCCAGAAATCCCTAAGTTGTGAAAAGCTTGCAGTCCCTGAACCTGAAAAACCCTANNCCTAAACCCTAAGCCCCAAAACCTGAAATCCCAAGCCCTAAACCCCAAGTCTTGAACCTGAACGCCCCTCTTTAAGAGCCCTAAGCCCTAAACCATAAAGCCTGAAAGATAAGCCCTAAAGCCTTAGCCCTAATCACTAAGCCCTAAACCCTAAACCCTAAACCCCAAACCCTAAGCCTTAAACCCTAAACCCTAAGCCCTAAACCCTAAAGCCTAAGCCCTAAACTCTAAAGCCTAAATCCTATGCCCAATTCCCTCACAGTTTTCGGAGGTCCAGACCCCGCCTCCGAGCCCAAGGAGGTCGTTCTGGAGCTGCGCGGGGCTCGGCCCTGGTCCTAGGGTGCAATGGAGTCTCTGAGTTTTGGCTTTGGGGTTTTGGGGTTTTGGGGTTTTGGCTTTGGGGTTTTGGGGTTTAGGGGTTTTGAGGTTAGGGGTTTTGGGGTTTTGGGTTTGGGTTTTGGGTCTCGGGTTTAGGGTCTGGGAGGCCCCGAAGCTCCTTAACAAGGGATATGCCTTGGGGTGTTCAGGAGCTCGTGAGGCTTTTGAGTTTGGGTTTGGGGCGAGATGGCTTCTGAAATGCAGGTGACCTACACCATTAAACCCGAGATGCGGGCTAAATCCGAATCCCAATGCCTTGGACACGAAAAGCGAAGAGTAGCACACCTGAAGCCCGAACGAAACCCAGTCTAACCCTAAACCCTAAACCCAGTCTAAATCCCAGCACTTCAACCTACGGCCCAGCCCCAACTTCGAGGGGTCATGCGACTTAGTAAGCACGGTTCTTTTTCGGGTAACTAATTCTTAGAATGACTTATAACTCCAATTAAGGTACCTGTCACGATACTTACTACGCCCCAGTAATTAGGCTCGGCACCTGAACCCCGAAACCGCCGCAGACCTGGGTTCCTTGTCAACTGTAGGGGTTTCAAGGGCCCTAAATTACTGAACCCGAAGCCAAAAGGCCGGAACCGTAAAACCTAAGCCCCAAGTCTGAAACCTTGAGCCCTAAGCCCTAAACCTTAGTTCCCAAGCCCTAAAACCTAAACCCCTAAACCCTAAACCCTAAACCCTACACCCCGAAACCCTAGATCCTAAACCCCAGGAGCCTCAAAACCTAAAGCCATAAACACGAAGGCCCGCAGTTGAAGCTCCGGGCCCGTACACTATAGTGTGCAGCAAAACCCTTATTCTAATCATTAAGGTCCTTATACTAAAACCTTGTATGAGCCTCATAGAACCCAAAACCCTACACCTTACAAAAAACCCTAAACCCTAAACCCTAAACCCTCAAAGAGTTTCATTGCTCTGGAAGGCGGCACCGCATCCGAGCGCCGAGCCACTCGGAATGGCCGCTGCCACGGGCGCGCCGGGAAGGGCTTGGGAGATTGTCTCTTCGAAATATCGTATGTTGTATTATGAATATGAGTTATTGTGATTATTATTAGTACTAATGTTATGCTAAGATTAAAATTCATATTCATACTCCGTAAATACTAAAAGAAGCATGCGTACGAATATGAATATGAGTATTGACGTTGACATTAATACGTTTGTGCTTATGAGTATGAATATGAATATGCATAGTCATACCATTGTATGAATACCCATATCAATATCAACATCTTGATTAGAGTAAATTAATATTCATACTGGTATGAATACTCAGATTAGTATTGATATTACTACTAGCAAGAATGATCTAGCAAAGAGTAGCCGAATGCATGCATCCGCGCTGTGCCAAAGAAGGCCTGAGAAGGAACACTTGACGTGCGAAAGGCGTTGAAAATTGCCGACTATGGCCTGGCCAGGACTTGCCGACCCGGGCATCTGAAGTGGTGACGCTAACTGCGCCAGAGAGCCAGTGAGGTTATATGATATATTACGGTGTACGTTATAAATCATACTGTGCTATTATTGTACATCACAAAGGGACACAGTGCTCCCAAGGGCCAAGTGACAGGTGGTAATTCTGTGTGGCGGAACTTGCCGCTACAGCACCTGAGCACCTCTAGCCCATGCCGGACTGCCTTTTGATTCCTCCTGAGTTTTAGGCCCTAAACCCCACACCCTAAACCTGGTTCCCTAAACCCTTAAAGCCTAAACCCTAAATCCTAAGCCCTAAACCCCACACCCTAAACCTGGTTCCCTAAACCCTTAAAGCCTAAACCCTAAACCCTAAGCCCTAAACCCCACACCCTAAACCTGGTTTCGATTTTAGACTTTTGAGTTTAGTTCCACGGCTTCCTCATCCTGCAGCTGAGGATTGTGACCCTTAAGCTCCACCCTCTCCGACCAGAATGCAGTTCGACCGTCTGCCAAGCAGAACCAGCCACCCCCCCCCCAAGGCTCACGAGGTTTCTTCCGCAAAGAGCTTTGGGTTGACTTTTTGGGTGGACCAACTTGAAGGGTTTAGGGTTTAGGGTTGACGTTTTGGTGCGTCCAGGGCCGAGGAAACCCTGGGTTTCGGCGCTGTTGGACTGAAACCTCGTGAGCTCCGGGACAGTTTTCGCTTTTGCTCAAGCACA